GAGCAATGTGGCATCAACTATGGTCGCCGTTCCTCCAGCACCCCTAGTTTCAGATCAGACTCTTCATATACTGATAAGATGTATCGTCCGTTTGATGAACAACTAGCTGTATTCAGCCCTTCAGAATCTGTGAGTTTTAGAATTGCCGAAGAAACAGAATCCGAAAGAAATGAAGATGAAATAAGCTCAAGCAGTCCTCCACATGTTAATCAAGATGGAAGATCAATCAAACCTCGTAAAAACAATCCTTCTTTAGCAGGAACAGGTTCTACTGATCCTCCACACACATGGTACGGGACAAATGCTGACAGAGAATTATTGCGACCAATATCGAAAGATGATTCAGTTCTTGTGATGGCTGAAGGTCACAGAACAGGTTCTTATAATTGCTGGACTTGTACTTTCTGTTCAAATGAAAATTTCGGAGGAAATATATGTGACGCGTGTAACCAAGAAAGGGCCAACCTTCATAGTTACTAGTAAAATTAATTATCATTATAAATAATTGTACTAAAATTTTTGGACTTTAAATTTATTGTCATCTGATTTGTTTATTAATTTTAAATAATATTACTTAAAAATAATCCTCTCTAGAGAATTGAGTAATGCTGAGGTCATGATTAAAGGGGCTGTACCAGGGCTAGACCAGCTTTTTGACCACCCTAAATATTCATTACCCATTATTATTATTCATAGCTACATGACCACACAAATGATACAATACTATAAATGACCTCAACTAATCATGCCACCTCCAATCCACCATTCAATAATAAAAAGTAAAATAATAAAAAATTTTTAAATAATAGCAATTTTAGTAAAGGTAAATTTCCGTCCTATTATTTGATTCATAATAAAGTACAACATCCTCCATCGCCTTTTTTTGACTTTGTTTTGATCACTTCTCGTACAACCTCGACAAAAATGGCCTCCACGTTTTTCTTGGTCTTAGCTGAAGTCTCAAAGAAGGGACAGCCCCAAGACGTAGCCAACGAGTTCCCATCCATCGGAGTGACAGCCCTCTCAGCCTCCAAATCACATTTATTACCGACTAGTAGCATAGGGACATTCTGGACACCCTTTACACGTAGAATCTGATCTCTTAGCGGCTTGATGTCAATGAATGACTGCTGGTTTATGATCGAGTACACCAGTAGAAAACCTTGTCCGTTCTTTATGTAGAGGTCCCTCATCGAAGCAAACTGTTCGGTACCTGCTGTATCGAGGATCTCAATGACTGTCGGAGATCCATCCATGTCTATCTCTTTTCTGTAGAAGTCCTCGATCGTAGGATCGTACTTCTCTACAAACTGACCAGCGACAAATCTGACGGTTAGAGCACTCTTCCCCACCCCTCCACTGCCAAGAACCACTACCTTATACTCCTTCATTGTGAACTATAGACTAACTATAAAGAACCTGAGAGAAAGGAGAAAGACAGAGAAAAGTAAAACACATCAAATCTCTTCTTTAGTGTCCTCATTCACATATCCCATTCCTTCATTCATTATTGAGGCCATTACAAACACACATATCTCGTAACCTCACCACTCTGTCTCTTACCTCTCCGTCAAAGAGAGCACTGACTGTATATGAAAGATACAAGAAGAGATGAACTGTACTCCACGCTATGTGGTGGTGGGGAGAAGGGCCGGGATGAGAGAGAGGAAGGAGTAAAGAAGAAGGTATTTGGTAACCACCCAGTGCCGACTTGCTGCACAAAAATAGAACAAAACAGCAAATTCTATTTTTAGTAACAAGTGTTCAAAATGGCGTCGAATACACACACGCCTCTTTTAGCCACAAAATGACCAACGGAATCCATGAATAGAAATGGAATGTATGCAGCCACAGTGTTTAGCTTCTTTCTGACTTTTCAGTTTTATTTTTCAAAGGCAATAATATAATCAAAACAAAATTAATGCTGACATATAAATGACTTCTTTCTCAATCATTTTCAAAGTTTTCAAACGGCTCAAGGTGCATTCGAATTTGGTCCTTTCTTTCGTCCAAACGAAGCAACGACATTAACAAAGCGTCTGTTGTACTGCATCCTCCTCTTGGCACGTCCCGTCTTCTTCTTCTTCTTCTCTTGAGCTTCAACCTGCAAACACATTTCAAGTTTAATGTATCATAAAAATTTGAGGTTATTTGGAGCAGTGTTTGGAAAAAACTATGGGCTACAGTACAAGGAATTTTCAAAAATCCCCTGTTTTTAAAATGACCATAACTGAAAAGTTTGAGCTTGGAATTGCCTCAAACTTTCTACACAGCATAAGGACATCAATATGTATCAGAAAATGTAATAAAAATTGGGAGTGATTTCAGAGCCATTTTTGCAAAAACCATGGGCTATAGTACAGGGGAATTTTCAGAAATTTGCCCATTTCTTTAGGTGGTCATAACTCTAAAATTTCTCATCAAAATCAGTTCAAACTTTCTACAGAGCATAAAGATGAGGACATTCAATGATAGCTTACCTTTGGAGTCTGACCACGAACT